ATCATATCTTTCTACACTTGGCCTGTGTCAAAATACATCCTTGGATTTTCATTTTCTACATTGATGAAAGCATTTTTTTGGGATTAAGAAAAAAGTTTGACTTTGCTCTGTTCCTTTTTGCTCAAATTGTTTTTGTTTTGTACCTGTATTTAGTGTGCCAAGTGCAAAGACTCCTTCAATGGCACGCCGGTGAATGGGCGTCAGTGCTACCGTCAGTTCAACGTGGACGCAGAATGCTGCTTTGACCCCACGTCCCAGACCAACTGCTTCCATGATCCCGCCATTCGCAACCTGCCCAAGGGGCGCACTGTGTTTTTCGCTGCACAGCCAAAGTTCACCAATGTTGACATCCGGGTCACCATTGATGTTACGTTTGGTGAGGTGGAGGTGTATGTGTCGAACTCTCATGACACCTTCATTGTGGATGTGGACCAGTACACAGGGATTCACACCATCAAGATTGAGGAGGAATCGGTGACTCGTGGGACAACGACTGGTGTTGATAAGGATTCACCTCCGTCCCCTATAAAGGTGTTTGCCAACGCCTCGTCCAGTCTTGGGAGTTCCATGCACTCCAGTAACCCAATGCAGCTTCAAGCAAAACCCCAAGTGGCAGAGAGAGAAATCAGGGAGGAGCGGGCTGAAGGACTCATCAGCTACATCACTGTGTGGAAACCACAGACGGTGCTGATTGTCCGTGGTGTTCGAGATCGTGTAGTCATCACTTTCCCCCATGAGGTGCACTCCCTGAAATCCAGTCGCTTCTACATCGCTCTGAGAGGTGTGGGAACTGAAAGGAGACATGGAGAGTCCCAGGGCCTGCTGTTTCTGCGACAGGACCAAGCCCACATCGATCTTTTTGTCTTCTTCTCTGTTTTCTTCTCCTGCTTTTTCCTCTTCCTGTCTGTTTGCGTCCTCCTGTGGAAGGTGAAGCAGTTTCTGGACTTCCGTCGGGAGCAGCGTCGTCACATCCAGGAGATGACCAAGATGGCGTCGAGGCCCTTTGCTAAACTCACCATATACCTTGAGCCGGAGGAGCCTCAGCTCATCTACCTGCCTTCAGCTGGTGGAGGGGTGGGGGGCAGCACTGTATCGCTTGCTCATGCGCGCACAAGCAAGTTAGGTGGAGTGGTGGTGGGCCAGAGGGGCAGGGCAGGAGCTGTCTCATACAAACATGACCCGGGCTCCGGACCCACAGCTCACCACCACCATCACATCACCCTGGGTGGAGGGGGCAACGGCGGCCAGCACCTGCCGCTGCACTACTTGAACACCCATCACTATGCCAGCACCACAGCTGGCACCCCGGCCTCACACCATCACCACCCATCCACGTACAGCGGCTATCAGCACTTTTGCCGCTCTGACCCCTTCCTCTCTCAGCTCATGGGCTTCTCCTATTCCACCTTTAAGGTGGGGCCCATCACCCTAGAGCCTACAGATGACGGCATGGCTGGGGTGGCAACTGTCCTCTTCCAGCTGCCTGGGGGCGTCTTGGCTCAAAATCGTGCCTGCCTGGGCTCTGCTTTGGTTACGTTGCGTCAGAACCTACAAGAATACTGTGGCCATGGCAGCGGAGGGGGACACCCGGGGGGCAGGAGCAGGGCGCAAGGGGCTTCTAGGGCATCAGCACCTGACCACTATGGCTATGTAGGAAAGCAAAGATATAAATTAAATAGTACAGGGATAAAAGAGCAGTGTTTGATATATAATAAATTAATTTTTGAAAGAAGCAGCCGCAAGACAAAGTCCAAAAGACAGAAATATGACAGTCCGTTAACTTGAGCATTTTGAACAGAATTGTATATACACTGTATAATGAATTATTAAGTGTCTTTTATTGTGTTATGTATGGCTATACTGTATTTCAGTGTTTCAGATGACCAAGCCAGCTGTCCCTAGAATGCACCAAAACTGCTATACGTATCAACAAAACAATGTTGCATCTTGTCTGTGATCACTAAAGAGGTATTAGTACATACAATAGTCAGTCCCTGTACAACGACTGAAGCTGGACTGTAAAATCCTTCTGATTGACCAACAGAGGTGTTAAAAAATAAATCCACTCTCTTTGCAACCAACATGTGCTTTACACCCCAAAAAGTGACAATCAAAATTGCAATTAAGAACAAAAGACTTTTAAACTGGTTCAGCATAATGTGCAAGATTTTGATTGTCAGCTCAGCACAGGAAAAAAATAAAGTTAAAGTTGCTTGTTAGATGGTTTTTATATCATAGTCAATATGCGTGATATGTAATTGTAACTCAATATATGGCAGGCTTCTAAGCTATATATTTATGTTAAACAGACTCCTGAGTATGGTTTTACTCTGTTACATTGCTATTTGTTTTTCTGCTCATCTGCCTTCACTTCTTGCCTTGTCTGTGAGTCAGCTGGCTTACACTTAATAATTGTGTTGATGGAAATGTGTGGCGCAGGTCCTGGAGAACATAACAATAACATATTCAAAAAAAAATTTTTGTAATAAATAGAAAAAGGATGAAGTTTTCCTTATTAGTTCCTGACACTAAGATGATGTAAAACACATCAGAAATTGTCCGTAGAAATGAAGAAATCTTGTGTCCTTTTGAAAAATGTCATTACATTTTGTTGACATGAAATGTATGTTGGTGTTTGGCTAGTTTTGCTGGACTGTTTTTTGTCAGGCATCTTGCCTGCTGAGATGATTGTTTTAGCCAATCATAGCTGCAATTTGATAAAAAAAAAAAATTGGATGTGGAAGAAAATGTTACTCAGTTGAAAATCCAATGATAATGGAAAGAGTTGCATTTGATTGTTCTCCTGGTGAGAGATTTTGAGAAGAGTGTACAGGATTTTTATTTTCAATGAGACTGAGTTACGTGTTCACTGGTTGGTGTTGATGTTGGTATATTTTGTTTTCTCTTTGTTTTCCTTTTTGCACTGCATGGAGGCAATGAGCCCCATAATTCATGTGAAACACTAAGACGGGATATCCAGCCACAGAATGGTGCTACTGGCCTCTTATTAAATGATCAAATTCATGAGCGGTTTTGTCAAACTCACAGCATAGTTAAGCAAACTAAAACTCAAACGAATACTGTCACTGTTTATAGCAGCCCTCCACAAATAAGCATTATTAACAGGTTTTTTGTTATTGTATCATTGTGTATGTTTTTTTTTAACATACTTTATTTTTGTACATAACTTTTGTTGTTTGTTTTTTTGTTTTCAAAGAAGGGAATAGTGTTGTACAAAGATTGCGTCAAGATTCTCTGTCCTGAGTCGGCTGAAATAAAGTCTGTGGAACATGATTGTGAGTGTCTGTGAAGATTCTCAGTCATCCAGGTCATAGTTGATACCACTGGTTCGTTAGTGCTCCTGGCTCCTGGTTAGTCCTCGTTACAACAGCCAGGAGCACTAACGAACCAGCGGTATCTATGATCTTGGCAAACGACCCCACAGAAGTTAAATTGCTGAGTTTCCCTACTAGTCAGTCAGAACTGAAGAAGTCTCTTGGCTGAGGGACGAAACGTTTTATAGTATCTTCAACCGAGACCAGTTGCCCTTGATTTTTAACCTTTGGATGATTATGAGTGTGTTTTGTACAGAAGAGAAATCCATGCACTTAGTACTATTTATACAACTAGTTGAGTAAAAAGGATATGAGGACATGAGACCTACAAAATTCAGTACTGGGATGTAAATACAAATGGTGCTTGTGACATAAAAATAATAATTTAAAGTTAGATAATTAGGTCAGAAATGTGAATTTTAGTTTTATTGAGATGTACCCAGATCTGCTGTAGGTTACTTAGAAAAAACCTAGGACTTAATTTCTCAACACATGGCGCGGACAAAAGAACTACAACACTGTCGATGCTGCACCTCTCTAATTTAACACTAATAAAGAGTCTCAGTTTGCATCAGTTACTGCCACTTGCTACTCAATAGATCCTAAAATAAAAGATGTATGTCTTTGAAGATCAGTTTTAAAGAGAGGAAAAGTTAACTTAACTTTAAATTAACTTAACCAGCATAAATCAGTATCAGACATCACAGCTTGTACAGAGGTTAGGGGAATTACCTATTTGAATGATTTTCAAAATAGTTGAACATGACAAAAATAATTAAAATGAAATAAGATATATATAAATAACCGATACATAAGTAAAAACTGATTTGATTGCTTGGATGTGTGATTTCCATGTGCTTCAGACACACTTGACCTATTTCAAACTGACTGTGTGTTGAGGAATTTGCCTTACATTTAAAATAAATTATGTTTTGTGGAAAGATCTCAGCCACTTCCAAATGATTTCCAGTCAAATAGAAAAATAAATATTGTTTTCAATTCAGCCAAAAACCTTTAACTATGTAAAACACACAGTCACTTAGTAATAGACCTTGTAGTGCAATATTTCCAAAATCTAATGTGCAATATTCTCTAATCTCTGTCCAGTACTGCAGTTTTTAAGGATTTTTAATACATTCCAGTGCCACAGTATTGGTACTTATTATTATTATTAGTAGTAGTAGTAGTAGTAGTACTATTTCATCACTACCAGTTCATTAACACAATTTATCATCACTCTTCTGTCATATAGTGTAAAAGAATACATTTTGCACACTGTGATTTATATTTTTAAATGTAAAAGATACTGTGTGCTTCCTTATATTCTATTTACCAACTTTCTATTAGTTTTTCTATTTCTTTATACTTTGATGTGCAATGTGAGACAAGAATTTCCCCCAATAAAGTATTTCTGATTCTGAAAATAAAAGTAAATTATTAGTACAGTGATTCTCTGTGGTGGCTCAGATAACTATACATATGACATCTGCAAGGGCTCCAAGAAATTGTGATATAAAATGATAGAGGCCTAATGAGTTCAAATTTGGTGAACGATTGATTTACAGTGGCAGTCTTGAGGTACCTGCTTTGTGCTGCTGTCTCTTTAATTGGATTGTAGGCTGTAACCTAACCATCACTGAGCTGAGCTGATTGGTCAGAACTAAAGGAAGTGAGGTGCTCTTCCTGTGTTATTATCTCTATACACTAATCTTCTAATATAGCCAGTTAGTAAACGTCAACTTAAATGTTTAAAGGCTTTGCCTGAATCGAGTAATATACAACGGTACGACTTTTCTTTAGAGCAGAGCAAAGCTGAATGACACTGACAGCTGCGTAGCTACAAGAAAACTGCAGGAACCTTATGCATGAGCCACAGTGCTAGCACCGCTGCTAGGCTAATGCTGCCGTAGGTGTAGCTAAGCTATGATGCTATTAACGTTAGATGATAGATAGATGAGCATAATGGAGAAGATGGCCTGTTGTTGTTGTTGTTGTTGTTTTTATATTGCTTACATTGCCTTGTGTGTAGCTATCTTTGCCTTCCAATGCATTCACCTTAATAACGTGTTCCTCTGCTCCACAGCACACTGAAGAGAAGAGCTCCTAATGGTGACTAACGTTGCATGAAGATGAAATCTGCCAAGAAGAAGTCTTTGCGAAACAAAGCAAAGAGAGGAGAGAAACAACAGGATGTGGTCGTAGTTAAAACTGAATCTGAGTTAGAGGAAGACTCTCGGGACGTGTACACTAATGGAGATGGTCTCGTAGTTAAAACTGAATCTGGGTTAGAGGAAGACACTCTGGTGGTTTACACTAATGGAGATGGTTTAATAATTAAAACTGAATCTGAGTTAGAGGAAGATTCTCAGGAAGTTAACGCCAGTGGAGATGGCCTTAACATACAAATCAAGGAGGAACCACATTCACAGGAGATCGGTGAGGAGCAGCAGCACAATGGAGACTCATCAAGCTGCTCCGACACTAAGCCAGACACTGTAGCATCCTGGTCAGGTGTTCACCACCATCAGGCACTCGTAAAGGACGAGTGTGACTCTGACCATCAGCCACACAATGAATTCACTGAAACTGCTGTGAAGGAGGAGTCGGAGTCGTGGATTAAAGAGGAGAGAGATGGCGAAGAGGAGGCAGAGGAGGGAGAGGGAATCTGCACAGGTAGTAGCCAGTAGTTTATGAAAAACACGTAATCCCTGGGTATTAAATAGCAAGAGCTGCTTGCACTAATACATTCGCAGGGTATCAGATGTAGCCAATTTTCAGCTTTAAATAGCATATTGTTTAGACATTTTGGGATTGAACTGCAATGTCAGTGTTTGAAACACATTTGCTTTTTCGAGCGGCATTTGTATTTACCTTCTTACATAAATGCATGTCAGTGTCAGACGATTGGGTGGGAATAATTTGTCTATCATAGCCTTAAAAAAGTGCATTTCTAATATCTACAAAAGCATTTCCTTTGTTTCTCGTAACTTTAAATAATTAAACAAGTATATGTTTGACTGTCTGTATTATAGGGAAGTGGAAATCATACATTATTACTTTGTTAATGCGTTGCTTTCTGTGTGTGTCTTCCTCTCCTACTTAGAGTCACCATCTGAATTTTTTCCATGTCCTCACTGCAATGTGTCCTTTACTGACTTGGAGTTCTTGGAGAAGCATGTCAAGTGGGTGCATCAGAAACAGTATCTTGCGAATCTAAAAAAGTGCCTCTCAGGCCACACACTAAACCTCATCCCCAAACACACCTGCGCTGTCTGCAACACTACTTTTAACTCTAAAGTACACCTTAGGGTCCATGTACGTGAAGCCCACCCTTCTGCCCTCCCCGCCGTCTCCACCCCTGTCCAACCTGTGCACGCAGCTTCCAGTACCTGAAGAATCTGAAGAATCATTGTCAGCGGTGGCACAACATGTCTGTGGTTACCAGAGGAGGGCATCTCAGCTGCGCTCTGTGTGGGAAGAGTTTCAAAGCTACCTGGGGTCAAGGGCCGCATTTATGTCATGAACCAGATAACACAGAACCTGAGGATAAGCCAATCTGTCTGGACACTGGCGTGCAGTGCCCAGAATGTGGCAAGAAGCTATGCACGCCTCAAAGCCTGGAGGATCACATGCGCACCCACACAGGTGACCGGCCATTTGTCTGCAAGGATTGCGGCAGGAGGTTCGTGGAGCGCAGCGGTTGGCGGCAACACATGAAAATACATACCGGCGAGAAGCCGCACAAATGTCAGGTGTGTGGGAAGGCCTTTTTAAGATCACACCACCTGAAGTACCATTTAACCACACACTCCAGCAAGAAGGAATATTCTTGCCCTGAATGTGGAAAGGAGTTTGGATTCAAGTCAAGTCTGGATCTCCATCTGAGGACACATTCCAGTGACAAACCCTTCCACTGCAATGTGTGCGGGAAGAACTTTAACACTCGGAGAAACCTGAGGGTTCACTCCAAACTGCACACCAATGAGAAAGCTCACCAGTGCGGAGACTGTGGGCTGAAGATCGGAGATCTCGGGGCTTTGAAAATTCACCTGCGGACACACACCGGAGAAAGGCCTTACCACTGCACAGTCTGTGGCAACAGGTTCATACGCCTTGCACATCTGCGAAACCACCAACGCACCCACACTGGTGAGAGACCCTACAAATGCACTGAATGTGAGAAGAGTTTCACTCAGTCTGGCGACCTGGTGAAGCATAAGAGGATACACTCAGGGGAAAAGCCCTTTGAATGCCCAGACTGCCACCGCCGTTACACCTCCTCTGGTGATCTGGGCAAGCACAGGAGGAGTCACACAAACCTGCGTCCCTACACATGTCAAGAATGTGGAAAAAGCTTTCGCTTGTCAGGCCATTTGAAAACTCACATGTTAACTCACACAGGGGAGAAGCCATATTCCTGCCCCAACTGTCTCCGCAGGTTTGCTCGCTCTCACCATCTTTCTGGGCACGTGGCTAAATGTCGCTGAGTGCTCTTGAGAGGACTGTAAATAAGTTATGCTGATTTAATGTAGTAACTTTCTAGCTGAATACGGTCTACTGCTAGATTTTTTTTAATGAATGTGTTAGTCAAGTCAAAACTAGTAACTATATAATTATTTATATTAACTTTCTGTAACCCTTTGACTCAGATGACTGTTTTAATTTATTATGAAATGTGAATTGAACACATGAATCATATTTGTTATTGCATGGAAGTTTTTACAGTACTGTCCCAGGCCCTGTTCTGAATTTTCCAGGGTAGGTCTAAAGTGGTTTCACAAGACACTATTACAGTGGAGGCTTGAGGACATGATATGAGGCAGTTTTGTGGGATATGCAGGTTATGGATTGCTTTTATTTGCTCCAAAGATCATGTATTATTTGTAAAAAAAAATTAATAAATTATTTGTTGAATGCATGAACACTGTGTGTGATGCTACTGTGTAACAAAGTCACTTGGAGAGGCCACATTATTTGAAACATTTGTGCAAAGATGTTGCATGCCTCACAATAAGGATGGTTGTAGTTCATCAGAAAGTAAAAGCTGGAGAATTGTATATATAGCATATAGTTAAGAATGGGTAAATAAGGAATTCATTTATAAAGCATTGTTCATACATTAATACACAGTTATAAATGTTTTATTCTTTATTATCTACACACTATAAAGCAGTTAAGTATTAGTCCATTTTTATTCATCATTTATAAACCATTGTTCTTACGTTAATACACATTAGCAAGTCATTTACAAACAGTTATACATGTTGTATTCTTTATTAATAAGCTCATCTATAATGTGCCTAATAATTATATTTTCATACTTTATACATGATCGGTTCACTATTATATATGAAGTATCATTTTAATGACAAACCATTTATATATGAGTTGTTAATGGTTCATAAGATCATTTGGAAAGTTTCAAAAAAATTATGACGTAGGTAAACTGCCTGTTTTTTGATACTTTCCCGAGAAAGAATATAAACAATCTCAGCATAACTCCTAAATCAACCAGTGGCAAAGCCCAAAGGATGCTACTGAGACTTTACTGGGTATAAGCCTCACCGTTACAGGCCTAGTACCGTTTCTCTGAGACAGATCATCTATCACTACCAGCTCATCAATGATGTGCTTAATGATTGTATTTGATAAAAAGTGTTATTCCCATGAAAAACCATATATGCCGGTATGCGCCTATGGTTCATATGGTGATGTAGAACATTTAAGGAAATTATTTAATAAGTATGGTCTCTCTAATGTAAGGACTATTTAGGCCATACAAAACATTACAAATGAGATTGAAGAAAGTCTCAGTTAGGCTTCTTCAGTCTCAGCTTTATTACGGCCTGGATTAACACCTCAACACCCTCTTAGAGCCGTTTTTGGACGTCTTGGCGGTCAAGTTAGCAATAAGAAATATGTAACTTCCCGGTCAAGCTAGCAACAATAAATACGCAACGTCCGGTTACGCCTTCAAAAATAAAACTATTGAATAACGTTTTGAAACAGAACATTAGTTGCGTTCCATACGAAAAAAACTCAATACTGACTTTGTGTTTAATACAGGAAAACAATGAAAGTATGGTTTCTGGTCAAGCCGCCCTTCTCAACCATGTCTCCTCCTTACCATACTGTAGCCCACATACAAAATATGGGCCTTAAAGCAGCGCTATTTTGACCCTTGACGCATCCAGTAGTCTCTGCCGTGTGCGCTCACTTTAGCGCCAGACCGAGGAAGAACAGAGAGAAGCGTGAAAAACGAGATCACGCGGCAGCGCCATCTAGTGGCGTGGTGGTGGTAATACACAGCAACACAAAGGAGGTTAACCCTGTCTGCTAGCTGTAGGGTGACATGCATATAATCAATAACTTAGGTTTAGGCACACACTCTGTGGTGATTGTGGTAAGGATAATTGGTTTCGGGGGCTGTAAAGAGTAACATAGCTAGCTAGCCAGTCAGCCAGCTGGCAGTATCAAAGTAAACAAGGGTCCTGGAATTGCCTTTCCGGTCCTAGGATTGCGGTCCAGAAACTAAAGCCTCCGGTACTGCATCTACATGCTACTCGATCACACGGGCCCAGAAACGGGTCTTCAGTGTAAAGTCACCATCACTCCGGATTTTTGAGTGCCGTCATTTACCGAAGGACTTTTTTCCCCCTGGAAACTCCGGTGAGTAAAGTTTGTAACCTTTAGGAGAGAGCCAAAAGTGCAGCATCATGGCTGGGTTAAAACCATAGACTGGTTAAAACCATATTACTGTAAGTTAAAACCAGTCGGAGGCTGTTGTGAACAAGATGTCGTGAACTGTTCAACAGTATTTTGTTGGGTTGTGGTTTCAAACTAATCTCTGGAGGTACTTTTGAATATGTAAACACATGTAGAACCTTCAGAGGTATTTTTATTTACAGTATTTATGATAATAATGTTACATGTTAAAGATAATTTCCTTGACTAAAATGGGTAAACTCTGTTCAGTATTTTTTTAGATGTAATTTAATATAATGTAATGATAAGAAATTTAATTAATTCATAGTAGTGATGTCTTGCTTAAATGCTACCTAGTGAAGTTATAAATCTTAATGTTATAACAATGTAAAACCTAAGAAGAGTCACTATACAACAGGGTGATAATATTGAGTTTTGGGGACGAGATGATGAGATCTTATTTGAAGAACACTGACTGTGACGATTTATCTGATTTATTCTGCACTACACGTGCGTTTTTGAGACCCTGGATTGTAGCTTAGAGGTGAACTCTTCGCTGGATGCAGTGAGTCCCAGAGATGATGCACCCTGTATAATGAGATCGGACCGCGGTGTGGCCAGCTGCTTTGGATCCCATTCAACAGGACTGACACATCAGATTACAGGACATTGGCAGATAAGAATGATCCACCAGTTCATTATCCTGCCCAGGTAGAGGTACAAATAACTGAAAGACACTGGACACTTTTTAAAATTGTATTTTTTATGAAAGAGCTCTTCTTATTCTGGGGATTGTTTCAAACATGGTTGGTGCACTATGAGAGTGTTAAAGTCTCTGTAATAAACCTGCCCACTGTTCTTTAATCACACACAGTCTATTTCTTTCCCCAACACTACTCCTCTGAACCTAGGTTGGTAAGTTAGCTAAAGTGCTACACTAGTGTTAAATATTCTACACCTGTCTTTAGCATTCAAAAACTATGCCACAGGGCTTTCCCCAGTACGCTGAACTATGATGCTAAGGGGCTCCCAAGTGTGTTATATAGTGACAACAAGGGGTCTTGACCATTTGTCCATATGTGACGACTTGGGAGTGAGAACGGTTTGGGTTGTAGATTGTCAACAGTTGTACAGTTTATGCAGCAATAGTCTCTCGTGTTGTTGTGTTTTTTTGTGAATGAATGGGTGAAAGGCATTTTGTAATAAATAATATGTTCTTTATCCCTTTGTGTTGTGTCCGTTTCCTTTTTCTGTTCAGAAGAAAACATATTCTTGTGTGTTACGGTATCATTTGTAAATGCTTTGTAAGGCATAGATGGTCCTCACTTTAGATGAGCTCACACAAAGTACTTATTAACAACTAGTAAATGCTTTGTAAATACCTGAATTAATCATGAAATACTTTATTGACAAATGTTTAGAGAATATCTATTGCCTTTAAATTTCATTTGTGAATGCTTAATGAGGCATAGATAGTCCTCACTTTAGATGAGCTCACGCAAAATACTTTACCAACCATTAGTAACTACCAGAATTAATCATGAATTGCAGTATTATTAAGTGTCATAAAACATCTATGAACACGCACTATTAGACCATTTCTAAATAACTACATGTCATGTCAAGTTAGCGGTTGATCAAAGCACTGAAGGGGGGGAAACCCTTTGCTAGTTCCATCACAGCAGATCTCCAGAAGCGCAGATCTTGGAGTTTTGAGGAGGAGTTCAGAGAAACGGTACCAGGCCTGTAACGGTGAGGCTTTTACCCTGTAAAGTTAGCTGGGGCATCTTTCGGGTAGTCTTAGTAGCATCCTTTGGGCTTTGCCACAGGTAGATTTACGAGTTATGCTGAGATTGTTTATATTCTTTGTGGGAAAGTATCAAAAAACAGGCAGTCATGTAATAATTTTCTTAAACTTTACAGATCTTATGAACCATTAACAACTCATACATAAATGGTTTGTCATTAAAATAATACTTCATTTATAAATAGTGAACCGATCATATCTGAAGTAAGAAAATACAATTATTAAGCATATTATAGATGAGCTTATTAATAAAGGATAAAACATTTATAACTGTGTTTATGAAAGACTTACTAATGTGTATTAATGTATGAATAATGCTTTATAAATGATGAATTCCTTATTTACTAATTCTTAACTAATGCTTTATAGTGTGTAGTTATTATAAAGTGCTACCGGTGTTTTTGTTTCAAAGACAAACCTAGGGAAGGAGCAGGATTAATACATTTAGCTGTGTAACACTATAGAATCAAATTTTGAAATGGCTTGGTTAAAAGATTTGGAGATTTATTTAGTCAATGACTGCTTCATGAAACAATCGCCACAAGATTGATTATGATTTCCCCCCCTTTTACAGCTAAACTGGAAAATAAGTGGACTTGGACTTAGGGATTTGAATTCAACTTAGAAGTACTTATTCTGTGTTCAATTGGTTCACTATCTTGCCTTTAATGAGCAGGGTAGCAACTGTTATTGTACAGTAACTTTAAATGACAAAATTTCTCAACTTTGGGGTAGGGAGTTGATTGTATGTTTAAAACCTTCTAATTGCTCCCGCAATGTTATTAAAAAACGGACTACACTTGTATGACATATGCCAAAAAATCACAACTGTGTTATTGCTGGTATCATGAAAACTGCGGGACCTAAAGATAAAGCTTATGAAAGTTTGCATGCTGTTTCGTTTGTTACGCTGCAGTTAATAGAGCATTGATCTGTGGAACAGCGTATCCCGACATGCCGGATCACCCTTTCGTTAACCTTGTGTTCAATGTAGGAGCTCCGCCCGCAAGGGGCAAGCGGATGTACAAAACAGGCTTATCCTTGTTTTTTTTTTTAGCAGAGCAGAGCACGCACGTGAAAGTTGCCTAAAACTTATTTTGTGGTTTGTCTGTGTCGCCCCATAGTGAGGGTAAAAAG